AATATGGATAAAGCCAAACAAGCTATCACCCAATTAATGAATGAAGGCCATGAGTCTTCAACAATCCCCAAGGTGGATTTTGAAGTAAAAGACTGGATTAGTGTCCAAGGAATTGCAATAGAGATTATTTTCATTATTTTAGGTTGCACTCAGTGTAAATTCAATGGGTATAAGCAAAAACCTAAACAGGTACCAAACATTAATGATGGCAAATATATATATATATGGTACCCTTCCTCCACCCCAAGCGGTGGAAAATGGCCTTGAAACTGTCCTCACAGACAGGGCCGGCTTTAGGCCGATTCAGCCGATTCGGCTGAATTGGGCCCCACGCTAAGAGGGCCCCGCGCCGCAGCTCTCCACCCTGCCCCCAGCTCACTTCCCCCTTCTCCCCTCTCCTGAACGCTCTGCCCCCTGCTCCTCCCCCACCCCTGCTTCCCACGAATCAGAGGTTCGCAGGAAGTCTGAAAAGAAGCAGGGGCAGGCACGCAGCACCAGATAACCCGGGGTGGTGGGGGGCGCGAGAAGGGCTCCGGGGAGGCATGGCCTAGTCCGGCCCCGGTTGCGGCCGAGTGCGCCGGCCCGCGGCACGGCTTCGGCTCCAGCCCCTGGCCCGGCCCCCACGGCGCGGCTTCGGCTCTGGCCCCCGGCCCAGCCCGGCCCCCGCGGCGTGGCTTTGGGCCCGGCCCTGGCCCCCGCGGCGTAGCTTTGGGCCCGGGCCCGGCCCCCGCGGCGCGATTCGGCTCCGGCCGCCAAGGGGCTCTGGGCCGGACCCAAGCCCGGCAAACACGGCCGGAATGCGGCTCAATTCCTGGGGGCGGGGCTTGCAGCAAGCCCCGCCCCCAGGAATCGGGCCCCACTCTTGCTAAAGCCGGCCCTGCTCACAGATGTTTGAGCATCTACATCTTTACCTGTGTGATGGGGTTCATTTACAAAGGGGGGCATGTAGCCTATAGGCTAGCCTGCTTGCTTGCCTATATATCTTTTCTTATAAGTTTCTTATTTTCTTATAGGTTTGATTATTTGTTTTATTAAGTTAGCATACATATGTCAGGGACCTTTCACCCAGATAGCAAAATTAGTATACATATATTCAGGACCTTTCACATAGATAGGTGGTGAAAAAGCGTTAGGTCCGTGTATGGCTGTGACCTTTAACATAGAGGATACGTTAAAGCAGGTTGGCATAGAGGCTCTCCTAAGTTCATACCCTTTCAAACTTAACCGGTACACCACAACTTGGAACTTGGAAAGAACCGAAATAGCCAGTTAGGACAGAAACAACAAATGTGATACCTAACCACAAAAGGGCCATGGTAACGAATTGACATATATGATAATAATTTAAGATCACTGATGTACTAACCTATAGGAAAAAGACACTCCAACATTAGTAAGATGAGGAAATACAAATAAGGAAAAGGGGCAAATCCCCTACTGAATATGCATCAAACATAGCGGTGTCAGCGTAACGTATTATAAAAGTGGCATCCCAGCCTAGGGGCAGTAGGAGAGAGAGATGTAATCCTTGAGAGGTGCCAGAGTGATGGCCACTGGTGATGAGGGGGAAGGTAATGGTGATGAGGAAGATGATGGATAACACTTCAGCTTGTTCTACCAGGGATGGTGTGAGTATCTGGATGTGCAGATGTATATTCTGTAGTATCTCTTTCTTACTAAGTTGGGGTGTTTGTGACTGTGCTAAATGTACTAATAAACTATATTTGTAAATATAAAAGTGTGAGTTGTCACAACTGTGCACATCGGGGTTCCCAACTACATAACAATTTAAATAATACTGGGCCTGATTTTGGGACAAGAACCTGTCAACCCTCAAAGTGATAACTGGGGATTATTAAGTAATCAATATAATTAATACACAATCTAAAGATCAGACAACAGCACCATCCCCTCCTCCTGCTTCTCCCCAGGATGGTGGTGGCTGCTTTCTGTTTCTTTCTTACCTTGTTAAGAAGTTTGGGTGTAAAATACTCACCTGGTACCAAGCCAAGCCTTTGTCCTTCTGACAATGTCCTTCAAAACTACATTGACATCACTTTCCTGAAACGACAGAAAGAGAGCATAGCATGGAAATGGGTCAGCTTTAAAGCTCATCAAAAATTACATTTCTTTTCCATGGAGAACTTCAACTTTTTTGAAAAGAAAGAAAGAAAGAAAGAAAGAAAGAAAGAAAGAAAGAAAGAACACCTTTTGGATATTTGTTTCTTCTATGAACAATCAACATTTTTACACCAAAAGGAAAAACAAAACAAAGTTTTGTTGAAAACCCAAACTTTCTTGAAAATCAGTTTTGACAGAACATTTTCAGTGAGCCCTAGTCACCTTTATCCTCCCAGACTTTGCAGGTCCTGCACCCCGCATGGCTAAGCCACACTTACAGATCACATCCTCCATGCCCAAAATATTTGGCATGTGTCCTGATCCAGCTCCCATTAAAATCAATGGACAAATTCTCATTACACTGGTGTGACAGCACCACTAGACTTAAAGCTGATTAAGTTGAATGGTGGGGACTGAGCCCGATGCTATTCAGTTAGACAAGCTGAGGTGGAAAGCCTCGGGTTGGGAAACAAGCAATGAAACCCAAGCCAGACACCTCACCAAGGCCTTGCAGGAAATTACTAGGGCTGCTCAAAAGCTTCCTTCAGCATTTTTTTCCAATGGAAAATTGGGGTTTTGACTAAATGAAAGTTTCTCCAAAGGTGAAATTGGCAATTCCAGTTTTTTGTCAAGAAACAGAACACACACACGCACACACACACACCTCTAAAATTTGCGATTTTGGCCATTTTTTCAATTTTTGGCCATTTATGGCTGCAAACATTTTGGAGCTCAGTTGGTGAGATCTGAAAAAATGTCAGTATCTGGGTTTTTGTTTTTTTGATTAAAAGTCAAAATTTTTGACAGGAATTTTGATTAAATTATTTTTTCCTGTTTTTGACTAAATTCCCAGATTTAATTCTAGTGTCCCTTAGATCCCTGTCCCCCAATATTTGCCCCCTTCTTTATTTTGTTTTAATTGAAATTTTCCATAGGAAAAACAAAGATTTTATGACCAGCTAGAAAATATGGCTTAGGAAATAAAAATTAACGGGAGGTGGCCCCATTAATGTGCTTGTTGTCTGTTAGTCTTACGTTTATTCCACGACCATCTGCTAGGCGACTGGTGATCCGCTGGTAGACGTTGTCCAAGAGAAGCTGCAGTGGCAAATGAATGTGAGGAACAGGCTCTCTACAAAAATTCTTCAGGGCAAGCATCTCAATGACTTTCTCTGCCAGAGGAGTGCAGCTCCCGATGAAGGTCTGATGGGCGTTTATCATTGCCAGAACTTTCCTGTACAGGTGGGATATAGCTCTATGTTAATAAAAGGGTTCACTTGGGGAGGTATTTGCTGTGGGCAGACTGGTTTATTTTTTTTAAACTACACTAACTATCATTATAGTTTTGGCCCAAGGAGCTGGTATCTAAGGCTACATCTACACTACGGGGGGGGGGGGTCGATTTAAGATACGCAAATTCAGCTACGTGAATAGTGTAGCTGAATTCGACGTATCGCAGCCGACTTACCCCGCTGTGAGGACGGCGGCAAAATAGACCTCTGCAGCTTCCCGTCGACGGCGCTTACTCCCACCTCCGCTGGTGGAGTAAAAGCGTCGATTCGGGGATCGATTGTCGCGTCCCAACGGGACGCGATAAATCGATCCCCGAGAGGTCGATTTCTACCCGCCGATTCAGGCAGGTAGTGTAGACCTAGCCTAAGAGGAGGAATAATTCTCTCCTCAATACTGTTGCTTTACAATGACCTGCAAAGGAAAACAAAAATTGGGCTGGCGATGTTTGTGGCCTCTTTAGGATGAATGGTGACTTGTACTGCTCTGTGCTATAGCTGCTCGAACTCAATGCTGTTTATGTCAGTCACTTGCAAGACAGCATGTTGTATTTTGTATATGTTTACAATGTGATATTTGAACATCTATAAAACTATTGATATAGACTGGAGTGGTTCTTGGTGAATTCATCAACTTGTGGCTTGGTTAAGAATAACTACTTGTCCGGCTCTGAGAAACACTGTCTAAGGTAAAAGTACACCTGAAAGGAACCTAATATTAAAAATATAGATTAATAGATTCATAAATTCTGAGGCCAGAAGGACCACTGTTATTATCTATTCTGACTTCCTGTACAACACAGACCACAGGACTTCCTTGAAATGATTCCTTTTTGAATTACAGCAGATCTTTTAGAAAAACATCCAGTCCTGATTTATAAGAACATAAGAACCTAAGAAAGGCTGTACCAGGTCAGACCAAAGGTCCATCTAGCCCAATATCCTGTCTACCGACAGTGGCCAATGCCAGGTGCCCCAGAGGGAGTGAACCTAACAGGCAATGATCAAGTGATCTCTCTCCTGCCATCCGTCTTCAC